ATTTTTTTATTAGATAATATTATATTATAAATGACAAAAATATCAAATTATTATTGGACAGATTTACTAGTTAGAATTTATTGGTTTTGGAATTAGATGTCACTCAGGTGACTCTGTTCTATCTTTGGATTCGAGAACTCCTCTCGATGTTCAACACGTTCTTCCGTTATGAGGGAAAAAACAATAATTCTAACTGCTGCTGCAATCATTGCCAATCTTCTATTCTTCTAATTTTGGCTCGTTCACGCGATGTAGATAGCGTTAGGATCATCATATATCCATTACTAGTGTCGGCAAAATATTCTATAAAGTTCCAAACTATTAAGTACGGTTATTATCCGAAAGTTGTTTCTTAAGTATTTTAACATTAATATTGAAGGTTGATGTTCCCACAGTGAAAAAAACGATTTGAAAGTTAAAAACTATTTTATTTTGAAATATTGAAACTAGTTCACTACACTGAAGAGGAAATTTTTTCTGTGAATGCTTAATAGCGACTTAGACTGATCATGAAGGCTGCCTTTACTCGACTCTCGATTCTTCTGATGCCTATCCCTGAAATCTCATCTTTCTGGCAGACATTTATGGAATACTTGAAATCAAGGGTTCAATACAGGTATCCAAACTGAAGATAAGGTCCTGAAAATCCGGATTAAACGTCTTAAATAAGGCAGATGAACACAGATCATGTCTTATAGACGAGGATTAAGAAGTACCCTGGATCCTCGCTCGAGAGAAGTTAATCTCCTGTCGATAATCACGTTGGATTCAAGTATCCATTTGCAACCTTGCTCTAGGCAGAAAACCAGGTGCATAAGCTCAAGACGTTCTGCCGGTCTTTCCCTCTATCCATACCAACAGGACGACAGATTTGCTCGATCTGAACACACAGACGAAATTGGCTGGCCGGGGACTTTGTAGGCTTCCCTTTCTCGCCTTTTTCACACAAAATTCCCTCCCTTGCTCCCTTCCTTCCAGCAGCCTTGGATGTGATCCCAGTCCCGGGCAGCAACAGTTCCAGCAACTCCCGGGCCAATGGAGCCATTCCCTTCTCACATGGCGCTACTGAACATCAGACGACGCTGCGGACAGAAGGGCTCAAATGTTTCAAAAGTCATACCGTATGACTCATACGATACCATCAGCAAACCGCATAGAAACCGTATGACTCTTGAGACCTTGGTATCGTATGGCTCATACGATACCATCAGAAAATATACTTGTACGCATGAGAATATTGTTATACGTATATGTATCCCTGTTGCACAAGTACGTATTGTACCAGAAAACTTCAGCGGTACGTTTCATTCGGGCAAAACGTTCCAGTGCACACGTCCACTGTGGGCCGCGGGTCAGCCAGAGATAGGCCGTGTCAGCATCCTGTCCTGAGCTCGAGTGTCAAGATAAAGTACATTGTGGCTTTTAGGCACAGGACTTAAAAGTGGACGTCACTGCCTTTCATGAGATATTCCTTACAACATTTGTACCTGTAAAGTTGGACTTTGGTATGGCGTTCATGTTGCTACGAGTTGAAAATCAATGTTAGCGGTGGTAAATGCTTCGTATGGAAGTCCCTCTTGTATTTGGTAACCCATACCTTGTCAAGTCACCAAGGTCGCAATTCTGTGAAACGAAATGTCCAGAAAGGTGAAAATCCTGGTCGAGATGTTATCACATCCATTGTACACAAAGAACATTTCGCCCATTCACTGATTAACTGCGATACTGAGTATTTTGACGATGTGGCAGATCTTGCAGGAAAAATTGCATGGGAGCCATTCGCATATATCTATTGTCCCCATGGGAGTGAGACTAGATTTCCTGTACATGCGTTCTAGATTTTCTATGGATAGAAGCAGCCTCCATGGTACGCGGTTAAGATCAAAAGTGAAATCTGGATTGCACAGCTCTAACTGGCGTGCAAGTAAGAAGAGCACGGAGAACAAAAGCAGAAGTTGCTTAATGGAGCTGAAAATGGTTCTGTGTTGTGATGGCTGTATAGAATTAGGTTTAGAGAGAAGAAGTCCATGTATGATATCCCATCCACGACTGAAGCTCTCAGAACTATGTTGGGCCACTGGGCACGGTGATTTTGGCATTTGTTGCTAGCCGTTAGGTTTGTGCAGTCCCTCTTTCACAGAAAGAAACTCGTGGGGAAAAGCTTAGAATTTTGGTGTCCTTGATCCTACATGTGTATGTGTTTAGATTGCAGGATCAACGCCAGAAGTGGAGTCTGAGTCTGAGGCTGTCCTGGAGAAGGCTAAGAATATCCCGCCCTGTGCTGACTCTTAGAAGAAAGGATCTGAAAAAGCATTGCTTAGGATTGCTTCGGATTTCTGTCATACTATGCGCAGGTTCTTGGAATTTAAGTTTTCTTGCAGGACGTTCCTTGAAAATCCTTCGAATTGGACTAAAGATTTCGTTTTGACCATGTTGAGCTCTTTGAAAGGCCTCATTTCAAATAAGTCAACATCACAGACAGCTAGGATGGACGGAACCAATTGCCCTTTTGTTGATATAGCCTCCGCATTAGATGTGGCCTATATTGAATCAAGTACATTCCCAATTGTACAAATTATCAGCTCACTAACATGAAGCTCACCTATTCAATCGAATCATTCCTACTGGTTCCTAGTTTTCTGGGCGAATTCGAGTCTTCGTAGACAATTTCTTTCGATCAGAGTTAACATTTCGCTCGTCATTCACATTTTGGATAAAGGTTCGAACTGACTTTAGAACCATAGACTCAAACCTCGATCGAATCACTGAGATTACAATTGGAAGATCTGAAGCACACAATGCAAGAAGTATGGATCGTGTTGCACTCACATGGTGACAGTAATTATAGACCAATACACGCCAAGGTTCTGCTTTGAGATCTGGTATCGTTATGAATCAGTGAATGTGAGAAATGTTATTCTTGACAATGGACGTTATTTTAGATGCTGATTTCTGTATATAATACTTCACGGCGGTGGCCAAAAATGTGAACTTTGTCTCCCCGAGTTTACAACATGTTTCCGTAATCACATTCTCCATCGCGTGAAGGAGCCAAGGTTTGCAAAACGGTTCATCGGTTGAGATTGCAAGTACAGAAAGCAAGAACTTCTTGCTTTCGTTACCCTCGCGATGCATGAGAGTGCAATATTTGAAGTCGATTCGGACCTGACAACAGAAGTATTATTTATTACAGTAGAAGCTCGCCTAAGAATTGGCTTGCAAGGATTCACATCGCAGTGAACACATAAGACATTGATATTATCGAAGCAAGGTTCTTCAAGTTGTATTCATGCGTTACTCTGATTAAAGAAATTATACATCTAGAGAGTCGAGTAGTTACCAAGTGGCGAACACTCGTTCTCGTATGGGGAAGTGATCAGTGCAGTCCACGCGTGTCATGAAGATCGTGGTCACCGGGAGAGCGTCAGAGCTTTTCTTTTCGAAGCACGGCCGTGAAATCACGGATGAGAACTTTCACCCGTTCGATAGGCGGGTCGAAAGGCGGCCGAGTTCGAGTATCCACGCAATGAATTCCGAAGTTGCAAGAGTGAAACATTTCGTCACCGAGTGGAAGTACGAATGTGTTTATCAATTCGGTACACAATGGAAAATATATATTACAACAATGTCCAAAGTATCAATATATATCGAAATTATCAATATTGGCATTTGAATTATATCATAAAATCAATAAATTAAATCAAAAATTTTGCAAGAATATAAAAAAGAAATTAAATTAACTAATGACGGTTTAAATTTATCTGTACAATAGAAAATATAAAATATCAATGTTATATGATAAATTCTAGATCTATTGATATAAATTATAGACCAAGAATATCATAGTCATTGAAATTATAATAGAAGAACTCTTGGCTTATCTTTTTACTGGAAGGTAATTGTTATTATATCAGTTGTTTCACATCCAAGAAAATGTGAAAAGTCATTGATTTCAACTGTGTACCATAAACGTGGTTCAAATATGAATCTGTCTATGCCTAGATTACATAGAGAGAGAATATCAACACTCTCAACATTGACTAAAACAAATTCGATATCTTAGGCGATGAAATACATACTGCACACTAATCCCATGTTAAGTAGTAAGTTTCATCCATCCATGACACTTTGTTGATTTACTTTCTACTTTTGTAAACCATTCAGTCAAAGATTAATGCTATATTCCTAACGCTTACATTTAAACAAGTGCATGAAATGTAGCCACGTGGATAACAAAAAGCAGGGATCCTCAATGTAAAAAGTAAATAAGAATACTGGGATGATTTAGGATACATACTATTCCATTTGTAAAATGGCTGGACTCTGGAGTACGCAGAGAATTCTCGCAAGAATCAGAACCTTTATAATCTTCTTATAAGGCGTTGGTCTTGTTCGACCTCATTTGTTTTGCATTCCACGGATGCGTTAGATCGCTCACAAGGTGATGAGGAAACCCATGCTCGAAAAAAGGCCCGACCCGATTTTCTCTCGACTTACGTCACCGAAACCCCGGAATATTACATGTTTCTTGTTACCATCATGCCGACAGCGATCACCTTGACATGCTGTAGTTGCCTGATGAGGTACCCCAGAATTCTGCCTTGTCGGAGATGTTCCAGTACAGTACTTTAGAAAGCCACAGCCGCCAGGCACCACCCAGTACGACATGATTGCGTAATGATTGCCTGCTAAGTTGAACGCGAAAATGCTTTACACTTTTACATGTACCAGCAAGTTTCCTTGTACCCAACATCCGAAATGCCGGGAAATAGCCCTGTACATTATACACCTACCGAGAACTTGACGAATGAAGCGGATAAGACTAGAAACAAATCTGAAGAGGAAAGAAAGGGAAAACTGTCGTTCCGAAAAGCCAAGAAAATTATGCGCCCATTGTAACCCTGTACGTCATATTACCACTAACCATTTCCCATGCAGCAAGATACTTCTCCCACTGCCATTCGGTTCCAACTCCAAGAAGATACAAGAATGATTTATTGGCTGATTTTAAAATACTCAGTTTCTAAGTATAGTCAATTTGCATAGAAACTTAAAAACACCTGTAACATCAACTTGATTGAATAATTCCACCTATACTGCTGTTATCGTTCTGAATAGTTTCTCAAGGTTTCACTAAATAGTTCCAAAAAACTAGTAAGAAACAAGCTTCTACAAGCTTTCCTGTCAATTTTATGTTCGATTACGTACACACTTTCATCTCAGATAGAACTGGCTAAGATCTTCGCCCATGGATGTACAGTGCATTCCTCAAAACTTTCAGGAATGACTCAACCGTCCTACCCCTTCAAATGATCCTAATATTTATATTCTCTAATGCGTTTACACTTCAGGCCACCCTGTGACATGTTCTACGAGCCATCAGGCATTTGTACAATGGCAATGCGCCAAGAAATATGGGAAGCAATGGAACTCCCGACCAATTGAAATAAATACTACCCTAGGAGTTTGGAATATGGTGGAGATTGGCAGTGTGAGAAAGTCGAACTAGACGTAAGGCTAGTGTTATTTAGCTAGAAGGACCGAGGCAATCATCTCCTGATCTTGTAGCCATCCGAAAGTCCGAATGTGAGAACTCGCTGTGACGGACCCTTCTCTCTTCCGTGTGCAGATGTGAAATTCGCCAAGTTTCTTCGAATTGAACGTTTTCGAATACGAATCCACATCATAGCGAATGATTAGCGACCCACATCTGTAGATTTATTGTTTCGCAGCGAGGTACGTTCTCTGCCAGACATCATCATTCCGTTTCCTTCCAGAAATCGGCTCGTTTGTTAATCTTTCGGGCCTTTTTCAGAACCGCCTCAGGATTGGCGTCACCTTTCACGATCACCTTCTGCTTCAATTGATTGCACTCAACACTTGCCACACCTGAAAAACAGCAATGACGTCAACAATCCACATCACAGAGCATGTGATAGCAGCAATTTTGCAATAGCTAGTGAAATCGCTGCCCACATTCTTCCATCGGTAGTCGAAGACTATCCAACCAGAGCTCAACACATGTGAATCTCTTACCATCCAAGGTCTTCAGCTTCTTGTGGACTTTCATGATGCACCCTTCGCAGCACAAAGGCATTGACAATTCGATGATCCCCTTCTTAGCATCTTCCTGCTCCTCCTCCTCTGCCTGCTTCTCGGCATTTAACGCTCCCATAAACCAATATTCATTATGACCATTGTACCTGCGTTGGTATGGGTTGTATCCTGCGTAGAAAAGCTGCAGGCAGACAGAGATGCGAAATCTGTTAAAACGAACAGAAGAAAATCTTCGCACCATCCAACGATGTAAAATCATGAACGAATTCGACAATTCTCTTCGCACTGCAGGCCCTCACCTCGTTCGGATTCATAGCCATTGCGACGACAGAGATTTCTGGTTATTCGCAGAGTTGCAAGAGATAGACTTCTCGGCAGTTCGAAGCGTCGAATAAAAGAAAACAGCGGCAGTGTCGATAAAAATCAGAACTTGGATCGCTATCGAAGAAATGTGCAGGGGGACCTGCCAACGCTCAGCAGTCTGATGTGTACCTAGTATGAAACAGCTCAGGTTTGCGAAGCGCGGGTGGTCAGCAGATCAGAAAGTGGAACTGAAGAATTGCGCCAGGACAGTGGAAGCTTTATACACCAGAAGGAAGGTCTGGGCCCACGCAGTGGCGGAGCTACAGTGGGGGGCAGAGGGGCGCACGCCTCCCCTTCCCGGCACCCCTGCCAGAAAAATCCTGGCTGCGCCCTTGGGCCCACGGAGTGCGGATGAATCATATTAGAGTGAAGTGGCAGATTCTGAAAAGCTTCAGTGAGAAGGAGCTGAGTCTTTGGACAAAGCCAATGTGCCCGGCCGTAAATTACGTCTCACTTTTCATTACTCGACATCTTCTCAGGCCGCTGCCACATGATTGGCAGCCGGCAATAAGCTCCTGGCTGGGGTTTAGCATGGTTTTTTAGGCTTCAGTCGGTTACCTGGACAAAGCTCCGGAACCTCTATCACACGGCCTGCAGTGCCTTCGGAGCGAAAGGAGCTTCGAACACATATCTAGTATGTCGAGACAGTGAGCATACTCTCCCACGGAGACTCAAACGCGAAAATACACGTGGAGTCTATCGAAAGTGGAACTGAAGGATTGAGCCAAGACAATGGAAGGATTGAGCCAAGGAAGGAAGGATTGAGCCAAGGAAGGATTGAGCCAAGACAATCTGTGAATCCACGGTCGTCCTCTGGCAGGTCATTCCGGTGCTCTCCTTAGGCATGTCATGCCACGCGTGGAGCGACAGCACAACATAAAGTGCGTTCGCTACCGATTGTGTCCACTCGATAACTGGTCGACTGTCTGATTGGATAGCTGAACTTCATCTATTTTGTGATGTGTAACGAAAGCGTGAAGAGAACTCGAAGAACAGTGCCTCAAGAGTCGATGTATGTGCTGTGTATATGCGATGTGACATCGCATATACACATCGCCGATGTGTATACTTGCAAAGAAATTCTCCGACGAGCTTCTACTGCATTTAATGAGACTATTGTCTTTGAGGTCCAGAGCGCCTCTAGATATTCCACACGCTCTTCCGTTATAAGGGAAAATACAATTATTCTTACTGCAGCTTCAATCATTGCCAGTACCCTGTTTTTCTAATCTTGGCTCCTTCATGCGATGCAGATAGCGTTAGGATAATGATAATAGTGGATCTAGGATGTAAGTGATTTTGTATGTACATTTCCATTTTCTACATCTTGGTCAACGTTTTCACTAACTTGAGCCTTGAGACAACATAAGAGAATCTGAAGAACAGCAGACGAAGAATCAAGAGGCAAGACTTAAAGTTCACTAGAACTAATTAAGGTTTTATATTTTGTAGAACTAGAACATTTAGTTCTAGATCTACAATATATGCAAAAGTTTCAGTGATTATGATTCTTCTTAAACCGGAGTATTGGTTGTGGTATATTTTCTTCAGTGGAGGAATCCAAGTATCAAAACAGGAATTTTAATGTTTCTTTTAGTTCAGGTTAACTTCTCAGTTGTTACAAGAATGAAACCAACACATCCTAGATAGAATAAGAATACTCGTGAAATTTCAAGAAGAAACTATCTCTTGCTGGAAAGTGCATCTCTTCTTTAGATTGGACATTACTTATGGCTAGTAAACAAGAGACTTAGTCTTACGTGTGATAACACTAACCATCTTGACCTTGCGCTGTAGGTGCACTTAAGTGATTTGGTATGTAAAATTCCAAATAATGAAATATTTCTTTCCCATGCTGAAGCTATTATCTGCTTTGAATCGCAAAAATGAACTCTCAAATTCAGATGATGATTGACTTCTAAAATACTGTATCGGGAATGCCTTATTAGTCGCCCGTCCAAAACATACCTTTGCAAATTTTCTGGATAAGGCTATGCTATATCCAGATAGATAGGCTGTCTGTCCTTTCAAATAAAAGTGGAACAACTTAGGAAACGACAAAACGTGATTTTTCAAACGATAGTTCCGAGAGATACGGTACGAGCTGAAATGAATCTCACAATTTTTTAATCTAGCAATTTGTCAGAGCGGTCATGGTGCTAGGACGAGAATTATCAAAATTTTCCTTATAAAAATAACAGTGGCTGACTTCAAGCAGCATGAGATAAGACTCAAGACTCATGAATAGAAACTACAATCAATGCTGCATTACTGGGTGTAGCTTCTGAATGACGTGAGGAATCAGAGATACCGAGACAATTGCAGACAGTTAATCCAGTACTTTGAGTACATCAAATGGAGTTGATTTATTGATTCATGTCCTTAGTCTATTCTTTTTCTTTATGGAATTTGAAGTTGCCATGCAAATCAGTATAGTAAAAATATATTGTGCGGACCCTTGACGTCCAATGTGGCAGCATTTTACTCCACTGTGGCTGACGTAGGGTCTTCAAACATCAGTTCGTCAACAAGATCCCGTGCTTGGCTTCAAAATTCAGTCCTTTCATTCCGATCCCAGAGACACATACTGAACGTGACAATTTGAACCAGAAAGCTAAGACTGTAGTACATCGTCCATCAACTTAGCTAGCTGCAAATCTTGAACTTTATGATGTATCGCGCCTGTCACGCAAAATAAAAATTAAGTTGTGGAAATACATGTGACATTTTAGGGAATTTAAGCGTCTTTTATCCAACAAAAATCGTTGATCTTTAAAGATTGATCCCGTTGGAGTCAATAAAAACCCTAATTTTTTAAGGAAACTAAGGGGATATCAATGTTACATGTGACAAGATGAATGAGCAAAAAGAGTTTTCCATAATATGGCTATCTCTTTCATCATCTTCTTAATTGCAGAATTTGTACCTAGATGATTGTAAAAGTGTGAGATAGAATATAATTGCCATAATCATGCTATTGAGGCCTAGCTCCATGTTACCTATTTAGATTTAGTACATGGAAGACTTGATGGAATATTAATTATTTTGGGGTTAATAATCCTAGCACATAGTTTTTACCATATTTTACTAAAGTCTACCACGGTCCTAGTACTCATGTATATTCAAGGAAGGGAACGAGAAAAAAGGTACTCCACATGTCAGACTGGACTGTGCAAGAATACATACTAATAATTTTTTTTAACAAATTATTTCTAATTTATCCTATACTTTCATCCTAACAATTTTGTTACATGGCCGTATTCTTAAATAAACAAAGCGTTGTTCTTTATGTGCTTCTGTAGGAGATGCAAGATGAAATAGGTTTAGAATCTTGTTAGGGATGCGTCGGTAGTGCATTCTTCATTGATGCATAATATGGCTCGATCGGAAGGGCGTGTCCCTTCTGTTCGTGTGAAAAGGCGTGCAGGACAAACTCCGGCGGCGTGCACGAAGAATAACCTTCAACATAGCACCTGGAACTTCCAGATTTTTCCTAATCATTATGCCGACGAAAGCCTTTACATTTACAAGGTGCCGACTCGACTACCCAAAATTCTCCTTTGTCGGCTCGAAGATAGTACTGTACTTTGGAGGAAGTCCACATCCGCTAGGTACAACTCAATATGTCAGAGTGGTGGCACGGAGCTGTTTATTGCAATCTGGTATTTAAGGGTTTTAGTAAAAACACCCCGTAATAAATCTCTGATGGCACAAAAATCGGGTTTTATTTTGTTTTAATCAGGTATCATCAATATTATTATTATATCTAGTAGATACCAACGAAACCCATTCAGAGAAGCTCACGTGTCCATAAAAAAACCTTGGTTTTTATAAAAAAAAATCTAATTTTATTGTATTATTGTATTTCATGACCAAAAACTCTATTGGTCATGAAAACAAAATCGAGTTTTTTCCTCCACTGGTATATCATGACGGCTCAATACTATGATTCAGCATGGGAAAAAAATATTTCATTATCAGGAATTTTACATACCAAATCACTTAAGTGCACCTACAGCGCAAGGTCAAGATGGTTAGTGTTATCACACGTAAGACTGTCTCTTGTTTACTAGCCATACGTAATATCCAATCTAAAGGAGAGATGCACTTTCCAGCAAGAGATAGTTTCTTCTTGAAATTTCACGAGTATTCTTATTCTATCTAGGATGTGTTGGTTTCATTCTTGTAACAACTGAATAGTTGACCTGATATAAAAGAGACATCAAAGTGCCTGTTTTAGTACTTGGATTCCTCCACTGAAGAAAATATACCACATCCAATACTCCGGTTTTAGAAGATTCAAAATCACTGAAACTTTTGCATATATTGTAGATCTAGAACTAAATGTTCTAGTGCTACAGAACATAAAACCTTAATTAGTTCTAGTGAACTTTGAGTCTTGCCTCGTGATTCTTCGTCTGCTGTTCTTCAGATTCTGTTATGTTGTCTCAAGGTAGTGAAAACGTTGACTAAGATGTAGAAAATGGAATCTTACATACAAAATCACTTACATCGTAGATCCACTATTACGATGATCCTAACGCTATCTGCATCGCATGAAGGAGCCAAGATTAGAAAAACAGGGTACAGTACTGCCAATGATTGCAGCTGCAGTAAGAATAATTGTTTTTCCCCTCATAACGGAAGAGCGTGTTGAACATCGAGAGGCTCTGCACCTCAAAGACAATAGTATCGTTAAATGCAGTAGAAGCTTGTCGGAGAATTTCTTTGCGAGTTTTTAGATTGCATATACACAGCACATATATCGACTCTCAAGGCACAACAGTGCCTTCAAATTCTCATCACGCTTTCGTTACATTCACAAATCGATGAAGTTAAGCCAGGCCTTCTAAATTGTGGATGTTAACAGGATCCCAAAATTAAATCTTGCGACATACATAAATTAACAATTTGCCTTTGCCATAAGTAATATTACGCCAGGTATTCTTCATCTTCGTATAGAAATTATTCTTTCATAAATTTCCGAGACTCACACCTGAGAAAGTCAATTAATTTAGAGTAAAATTTATATATTAACTTTATTTATTTACAAATACCAAAATTAAGAGGAGTAGAATTCATAATTTAGATTGATATAGATTATTATAGAACTACGAGGCTTGAGTTGACCTGTCCATTAACCAATTATCGAGTGGACACAATCGGTAGCGAACGCACTTCATGTTGTGCTGTCACTCCACCAGGCTTGGTCACGGTCGGTTATCGGGTTCAGAAAAAATTTGGACCAATTAAACGGGACCGACGGTCATCCGGTTAACCGCCAGTCCGGACCGTGGCCAGGCCTACTCTCCACGCGTG